ATAATAATAATAATAATAATAATAATAATAATAATAATAATAATAATAATAATAATAATAATAATAATAATAATTATCATCATCAATCTCCTAATAATAATGAAAAGGCCGTTCAGTTGATGAGGCGCTACGCGTAATAAGAGCAATCCAATTCACCAAGAAACACGGCGACGTTTGTCCAGGTACTTTTTTCATTTTTCCTTATCTTTTAATTTTTGATTTGACCCTATCCTTTAATCATCATCATCATCATATCAATTACAATAACCATTAAAATTTGATTTTTTTTTTAGCAAACTGGCAAGAAGGCGGCTCGACAATAAAGCCAGATCATAAGCAAAAGAAATCATTTTTTGAAAATTTGAACGATTGATGAGTCATAATTCAGTTAATTAGAAGAATATGTTAACATTTGACGATGATGATTATTACGAATATTATGTCACATGACGTAATTATTAAAAACAAAAAATTTCATCGTTCTTGCTAAATAAAGTTCTTTTTTTACATGAAATTTTCAAATACGTAATTCGCAAAATACCCAGGTAACATTCCATGGGTAATGTTAATTAGTAAGAAAGGTGTGGGTATACTATAAGGATATTCATGAATGCAAAATACGGTACTTATGATTCGCATTGTAAAGGAAGCTATGATGTTCTACGGCATAAGTAGATTATATAAAAATCTATAAAAGGCAACATTATCAGCGCAGCGTCTGTAAATATTTTTTTGTAACCGGAAAATTTCATAACATTACACATGATTTTCGGAAAGTTATGAGGATCTAGTTATGAAATTGACTACCATGTCTACCTCCAAAAGTGCGTCTGCATTTCCTTCAAACGATTCACACTCACAGTTTTCTAACGGTGTCGCTTTACTATTACATACTTGGACCGCGTTAAAGTTGGCGGTTGAAGGCCAATGGGGTGGTGTTGATTCGGAGGAGAAACGCGCGTGGTTAGCTGGTGTGGTGGTGGAGCAGTTCGAACAAAGTAAGAGAGAATTGTGTATCTTGAAAGAACGATAACTAGACCTGTGGGACTTTCAGTTTGATTTCGAAAATAGAATTGTGAATCTCGTTATAAGGAGAAAATACCATTTTTCACAAATATAAATAAAAGTCGATTTTGTTCTATGTATGCAAAATCAATTGATAGACGGCAAAAAAACATACGCAGATGATCTCGAATCAATTCTAGTACAAGTGATGTCTGATGAATTTAATACGCTACTCGAAGATGATTCCGCATATCAGGTAAAAAAAATATTTTCATACGAGATGTTTAACAATCTAATTGATCTGAATATTATTAGCTCTCACAAGATCTAGCAAAATTATACAATGAATGTATACAAAACAACTACGCGACAGTTGATGCATTACAAGAAAAATTTATGCAGCAAAAAAATTCCACGAGGAAAGCACAGGTTCGCGACGATGACGACGACGACGACGACGACGACGATGATGATGATAGTAGTAATGACGAAGAATTTAATGATGAAATGGAGACAGATGAGATTGATAAAGGTGTCGAGCCTTCTACACAAACTACTTCAAAGTCGCAATTACCTATTATTGATGATGATGGATTTCAATTGGTAACAAAGCGGTGGAAATAATAATAATTGATTGTTATTATAGTCTCGAAACAATAAAGAAATTCAGCGGAACATTGTCTTTTTTGCTTATTTAAAGTTATCATTGGGCGAATCCTACCAAAAAAAAAAATTAATAGCTTTGTATTCTTGATCTTCCGTATTCCTTTCCAAACTTCTCCTTGATATATTGTTCACATTCTTTTTTTGTTCCGTCGGGATGTTCAAATTGCCATTCAATCACCGACTGCAAATATTCTTTCAATTGAGGCCCCGGTTTTATTTTTAGCAAGTCTATTATAGATTTACCCTGTTGCAATACAACCATCATACATTTTAAATGCGAAGAATGTTAAAAATAGATCATTTAGAACTGCCGAATATATAAATACTATATCTTACATCGATAATATGTTTCAACGAATAGCACTCTTGTAATCCTAATTCATTTATTCGCTTTATCAAGTTATTGTATCGTTGGATCCCACGTAAAACATTTTCATTAGCTGTTAAACAACAAAAATCAAGATTTTAAAGCATACTTATTTTAAACTAAAGAGAAACAAACGAAAAAAACGAAAAAATCGTGTGCTTACGATTTCCAGACTTTATACTCTCCAATTCTGGTAAAAGGTCTATAGCAACACTCAAAATTAACGCCATCGGCCACTTACTACCTATTTCACGGATAATGCGCCCTATAAATAATTTTATTTAGTTCAGGTCGAATGTCAAGTGCACAATAACTAAAAATAATGATTTGTCACATACCTAAGTGAAGTCTATCCAAAGAGATCTCTTCATTTTTATGTGCTGCATCATGTAGAGGTTTTATTGAAGCAAATAGCATGGTTGTGGTGTCAACATCTTGGTTAGGCAGCTGACATAAATAATATTTAGAATTTTTTACTTAAAATTTTTCGTTATAAGCTAAAAAAGATATCAATTTATACTTTTAAGCTATTCTTGATCACATAAGCGGCAGCGGGAATTTCTTTCTTACGCTCTTTTACCAACATATTCGCGTAAGGTAGGAGAATAGAAGCCAGATAAAGTGATCTGATTTCTCCTGGAGGTCGAGGAGAAATGTCAATTTTATTTTCTGTGATTGATAGGAGCCTGTTATGTCAGTCAAAAAATAAACTTAGTCGTATATAGTTTTCGATGACTGGGGATGAGTATAAAAGAGTTTACCATTTTAAAATTTTTGATGAGTTCACTCCTTTAATAGGATCCTCCATATCACCAATTACAAGTTTTTCCGGCGGACGAGTAAATATAATATCGAAGAGATCCAAAGAGTGAATAAGCTCAAAAGAGTGTAGCGGGTCAGGCCCTGAATCGAGAAAAAAATCCAATATTCTATAAAATCAAACATCATAATTAGAAATAAACAATGAATTTATCAAGTACCTTTAATCATCTTGTCAACCTCGATGCCGAAGCGTTCTCTACTAATCTTTGACATTAGAGCAGTCTAAACACGTAAAATAATGAAAGTCAAAAGAGTAATCACTATAAGAAAACACAGATTACTCTATTTCCTTACGCGTATCTCTTCATTTTTAATAGTCTCTCTGATTTCTTCCACTAATTTAAAATCAAATCGACTGGCGAATCGTATACAACGAATGACACGAAGTGGATCATCTTTGAATGTTTGGTATGCCGAAAGTGGCGTACGAATTAATCCCGCCTCCAAGTCAGATAACCCCTAAGGCGAAATCATAACAAGATTACAAAACAGAATAATTCATAAAGATTTAAGCTACAAACTGTTGTTTTTATGATTACCTTTCCCGTTAAATCCTCCACTTGATGTGTATGTATATTATAAAACAACGCATTAATAGTGATGTCACGACGTAACGCATCATCTTCTGGCGTACCAAACGCCTAGCATCATCATATATCCTCATTATTGATATGTTGAAATCGCAAAAAAATATGTTGCGAACACTTGTATTTCTTTTTCGTTATTCTGAAACCCAACTCACAATTTCACTAGGAATTCGACTGTCTTCCTGATACGTCTCGCTTCTCAAATTGACGAAATCAACTTCGAGACCCAAAATTTTAGTTGCAGCCGTTTGTAAATGTTTGGATCGGTCAGGATTCGTTTCAATTTTACCGATTCCACTGATCGGGTAACCATTTTCACGCAAGTAGTCGTTTACAATTTCGGCGAATTCGTAGCCCATTAAGGAGCTTAGGGCGATGTCTAAATCATTGCATTCTAATCCAAGAAGCTAATAGATTTCAGGGCCAACAATAATATGCAAATAAGAAGATAATTTAATTTCTCAAATCACACCTGATCGAATTTCAAAATAAATTTCATACTTTATCGCGAACCCATCCGCCTGCTATTCTCAAGGTCAAATCAAGATCAGGTCTCGATTTTTTCAAAGAATTGGTTACATTATTAAGTATTTCGCACACTTCTGCCTCTTTTTCAGTCAATATTATATTCATTCTTGATTGTTTTACGGAGTCTTCTCTATTACTATCGTTACTGTTGCTTATATTTCTTTTTTTGGCTTTTTCGCCCGCAGGCTCAGAAGAGAGCCTGTATCGCTTGTTATTTGGCTCGAAAGACAGCTTGTAAAAATTCAATTGTGTAAAACTACAAAATTGTATTTTCGAAAGCTTTTTGCTATTAGCACGCAGAAATATAGTGAACCGTTGCATAATAATAATATGATAATATGATCATCATTTTATTCGGATCTTCAATTACATATCGATATTTTTTCGCGTTCTAACTCTAAATCGAGTCATGTACTTTATCATAAGTAAACCATTATTATCCACGAGATTCTCGTTTCGCACAATAACCACCATTAAGAAACATATCTTTTTGCCAAACTCACGAAACTTTTATGTTGGTGGTGTTAGACTTTCCATTGGTTCTTCGAGTTCCCGAAGTACATTCAGCAAACATAACTTATTAAAATGTAGTTGGAAAGGAACGAAGACGCGTGTTGGTTATACCTCTAGGCAACTTCGCGAACTCAGTTCGAGAACAATGCAACAACAAAGATTGCCTGATTCTACTTCTGTTGACCGTGACCTTGTCTATGTTGGCCCTTTGTCGCACCATTTGAGACGTTTTAAGCAATACGCGATACTTATAAGCGTTTCTGGTGCAATACTAATTCCTTATGTATTAATGTATGGAAAAGCAAATTATGGTGGTATAGCCATGGGTGGGTATATCATAAATCATTTCTTCCTATTCAACACCACGCAATACTAACAAATATTAATAACGAAATTTAAACATAAAACAGCTTTCTTATCATCAATAATACCAGTCATCGTCGTGAACGTATTGAGCTCACCATATGTTAATCGACTCTATATTGATATTCCGCGACACATTCGTTTCAAAGTAAAACAGAACCCATTCGACCCAGCAATATTGAAAAAAGACAGGAACCCCATTATTACATTCGAGACTTTTAATTGGCGAGGTAAACCGGTGGAGACTAGAGTCCCGTTAAAAGAGTTACGAGAATCAACGCGTAAAGTGAAGTATGTGACATGGGAAAGAATTCAATCGAAAAATAACGATGACAATGATAATAGTGGTAAAGATCGTCATGGTTTTTTTGATGGAGAAAGAACAGAATTTTATGTAGAGACGGAAATAATGAGACAAAATCCGTATACAGCAGGATTAATTGATTGGATTAAGAATAAAAATGTTATAAGCAAAAATAAAGATCAAAGTTAACTATTCTTATAGTTATTATATTTCAATTTGATGAGTTTGAGTCATTGATTCACATGACCATCAAGTAGCAAAGTGTTTTGAATAGAGATCGGGGTCTTGCGGAGGGAATCTGAAAGGCATTTGATGAAGTTTCTTGTAAATATAGAAGAAAAATATGGAATAGTTTTGTTATTATGATAAAGAATTAGAAAGTAATATATGTGATACAAGTTCATTGATAATATTCAACAGAATTTTCTTTTATATATGTTTTAGTTTTTCTGAAAAGTTGTTCTAATTACAAAAATTTTTATTATATTTAATTATTTAAAAATTTTTGTATTTTATATAGCTTTTTAAAAAAAATTCAAAAAATATATTTTAATAAAAATAAAAAATATTAAAGATTTTAATATAAAAGAAAGTTCTATATTTTGGAATTAAGATAAAAATAGCAATAAGCTAATAATAATATAAATAAATATTATAAAATTAATAGATTTTTATATTAATTCTTATATATTATTTATAATATATAAAAATTTTTTAAATATAAATAAGTTTTTATTAATTAAGTAATATATAATAATAATAATTAAAAATAATAAAATATTTGAGTTTTGTACTAATTATAATTAGTAAAAAAAATATATAACTTTATAATTATAAAATTAGAAATTAATTTTATATAATAAAATTATTTTAATTTTATTATATTAAAATAAGATTTATAATTTATAATTTAATATATATTTTTTTAAAATTTTCTGAAAAAGTTATTTTAATTATATATAATTTTTATTTAATTATAATTAATAAATTTTTCTATATATAAATTTTTAATAATATATAAAATTAATTTATAAATTAATTAATTTTATATATAATTAAAATTTTTTATTTAAAATATATTAAAATAAAAAATATTAATATATATTTTATTAATTATAATAAAAAATTTAATTATTATATTATTTTTATAAAAAAATATTTTTATTTAAAATATATTAAAATAAAAAATATTAATATATATTTTATTAATTATAATAAAAATTTAATTATTATATTATTTTTATAAAAAAATATTTTTATTTCTAAATAATATAAAAATTAAAATTTAAAAATTTATTATAATTTAATAAAAATTACTTAAATAATATAAAAATTTATATATATAAATTTACTTAAAATTATTTATTAAATAATATTAATATTATTTTTTTTAAATTATTTTTTAAATTAAAAAATTAATTAGAAAATGATTAATTTTCATATAAAAAATAATTTTAATTATATTTTTCTTTGTTATAAAATAAAATTTATTAAATTTTTATTAAATTTTACTAGAAATTTTTTATAATTTAATAAATAAATCTATTTAAAAATAATATATAAAATAACTTATTAAAATTATTTTTAAAAAATTTTTTAAAAATTATTTATTAAATTTAAAAAAAAATAAATTTTAAAATTTATTTGAACTTAAATTAAAGTTTATAAAAAATATTATATTATTTTTTATTTTTAAATATTAAAAAATATAAATATAAAAAATATTTTTTATTATTTAAATAATAATTATTTTTATATATATTTTTATTTAAAATTAAAAAATCTTTTTTATTTCAGATTATATATTTAAAATTAATATATTTAATTTTAATAACAGAAAATAAAATAAATATTTATTTTAAATATAATAAAAATTAATATTTATTATATAAAAATATTAATACTTATTAAAAATTAACTAAATAATTATATATATAATAATTATAATTAAAATAAGAAAAAATATATTTGTTATCTTAAATTTTTTTGATTTTATGATTTAATTTATTATTATTTTTATTATATATAAATTCTGCAATTTTAGTAATCAATCAAATAATCTGATATTATTACTGGTAATAATAAATAGATTTATTCTTAAATAATATTATTTTTTAAATTTTATAATTTATAATTTTTAACTAATTAAATTATAATTTAAATTTTATATTAATTATATAATTAATAATTAATAATAAAAAATTTAACTTTTTAAATTTATAAAAAATAATTTTAAAATAAAAAATATATAATTTAATAAAAAATTTTAGTAATATTTCTTATTATAATTTTCTTGTTATATATATATTTAATAGAATTTATATAAAAAAATAAGTTAAAGTAAATAAATTTTAGTTTAATTATATAAACTTATATTTATTTTATTAATATTAAAATAAAATTAAAAATTACAAAATAAAAAAGAAAGTATCTTTAAATAATAAATTAATATTATATAAATTATTAATATATAATTACTTAAAAGAAATAATTATAATACTTTCAAAAGATACTTATTATTAATTAAATATAAAAAATAAATAATTATAAATGATAAATATAAAAATATAAAATTACTAATTAAATATGATAAATAAAAAATAAAAAAATTCTATCTAGAAGATAATTAATAATCTAATTATTTTTATATAATACTTGATAAGTGATATAATTATAATATAGTAATTATATATAATATAATATGTGATATAATATTGTGGCTTAATAATCTGTGAAATAATTATTAATCTTTAATTATTTTAAATTTGTTATACTTATAAACTTGAATTTAAGTTTAAAAAAAATTGTAAAAATTTATTTTTTTAATAATATATTTTATTATTAATTTTAAGTAAATTTATTTATTAAATTATTTTTAATAAAATTTTGAAATAAATTTTATATAATAAAAAAATATAATTAAAATTATTTTTATATAATATTTTTATAAAACTTAAATTTATAAAATATATATCATTATTAATTCTAATAACTTTAATTTAAATATTTTTAAGAATAACTTTATTTAAGCTATATTTTTATGCAAACAATTAATTTTATTTATATTAAAATTTATAAGCAATGAATAAAATCACGTGAAAATTTCAATTACCCAATCATTTATAAGGATTAGTCTTATCCAGAAGATCTTTGACCAATAGGTAATACTTTCCAAATCCCAAAGAATATTTTTATTTTAAAATCATCCAATTGTCATGTTTAAATAAGTGGTAAGTGTGGTGCCAACCAATAAAATGTGTTAAATTTTGATCAAACCGACAAAAATCCAACTTCAAAAAGTAAAAAATGAAAACGCGGAAAATGAATACTTAAATATCGTTTAAAGTATTAATAAAAAATGACAGGAAGACAATTTTACATTCTCAACCCTAATCCTAATCCTAATCTTGATCTCAAAAACAATATTTAGGTTCTGCGTAAGGTGAGTTTCTTCTGAATTTAAACTCGTTGGTTATTTTAAACCAGACTTTGGGTTTGAAACTTTAAAAGCTAGGTAGAATTACATTTACATTACATATCGGGCACATGTTCCTGTTTAACAATTACATAGCAGATAGCGATAGCAAAAGTAGAATCTGTGATCGGTTGGCCAAGGTTGAGATCAACTCGTCTGTACCCTGCGGGCACAGATCTGGACGCGGACCGTCCTATCCCGGCCGGTCCTATGTCCGCCAGAAATCGTCTTGTAGTATGTGATACACGTATTTCTTTTATTAAGCGTAATTTCGGTTCAACCAACATCTACATACAAATACAGTAGCTCACAAAAGAAACGCAACACGAGTAGTTTTTACAAAAAAAAGCTAATAACCTGGAGAAAATTTTACTGATTAAAAGCATTCATGTGGATCACTTAATTTCATTAGAATGGCAACATTAATATATTTTAGGCTATTTTTAGACATTAACTCAAATATTTTTGTTATCAGGGAATCCTGAAAGAGGATTGGCCTAATAAAAAATGTGCTCGAGGAGAATTATCCAAATTGATACCAAAATTCGTTTAGTTTAGATCCCGAAATACCAAATTAATGCTAGTAAAAAATAATCCAACTAGCATTAATTTGGTAATAACTAAACGAATTTGGTACAATTTAGATGAAAAATTGGTTTTTTTAACGATAAATAGTTCTCCTCAAGCACGTTTTTTATTAGGCCAATCCCTCTTCAAATTTCACTAATTAAAAGGAATCATGTAGATCATTTAATTTCATTAGACATTCTCCAGATTATTAGATTTAAAATGAGGTACATTTAATCGATGTTAGAGGCACCAGAATTTTTTTCGTAAAACTTTTCGTAATAATTCTCGAGCTGATCCCGTTATTACAGACTCAGAGAAGATCAGACAACAGATCTTCATCCAATCAGACATCGCCCAAGTTGTTCATCTCAAGCTTTTTGAATTTCGAGTCTAAACGCACTTCGAAAATGCTCAAATCTGCCACAAAAACCTCTGCAAAAATGTCGCGAATGAACCCAAAAAATAACAACCATCATAATAATACTACTAATAATATATACGAAAGACGTTCTTCATCAATATGCAATAATGCTAGTATATCTTCTTGTAATAATAATCCCAAAAAAATAAATAAGGGAAAGTCTAAGGTTTTCGAGTTAGGATCTGTAAAAATCACTTCTGCATATGAGGACTCTCCTAAAAGGCAACGACATTTTGGTTTGGAAGAAGGAAAGACATTCTACCCGACACATGAAGAGTTTCAGAATCCGTTTGAATATTTTGAAAAAATACGGCCGGATGCAGAAACGTGGGGCATTATAAAGGTAATTCCGCCTAAAGAGTGGAAACCTAATTTTACATTGGATGCTGAGGTAAGGGTCTTGGATTTGTATTAGAAAACATGGATAGCTGGGGGGGGGGGGGCGATACGTGAATTTAGACGGCGCTTCGACGAAATTCTCGTTGAATTGCTTCGTCAAACTTTTGCCAAGCTTTTTCGCTCAGACCTGAGCAACTTCCTTTTATGAAAAATCATTAGCACGCAGAATTTGCTTCTTTTTTGCAACTAGAAATAATATAACACGTTTTGTGAGATTTCCAAAGGATATTTAAAGAGAAAATGAAATTGTACGAGATATGACATAAATTATATGATATAATTATCCATTCATCTTGTTATTTCTATACTAAATCTTCATCAACCTAGGCATTTCGCTTCAAGACTCGTGTTCAGAGGGTAAATACTATGCAAGGTGAAACCCGACTTCGCCTTAATTATTTTGAACAACTCCAGAAATTCCATGCGATGTTCGGGAAATCCTTGTCTAAACTACCACATCTAGATAGGGCACCAATTGATTTATATCTGCTTGCTAAATCCGTCAGAAATCGATCGGGACCTCAAAGAGTAAAAATATATTCCTTATTTAATGCTAATAAAGTCTAACGAATAAATCATTAATTAATTGATATTTTTAATTTTCAATAAAATCAATAGGTCTCGCAACTTAAACAATGGGCTCAAGTCGCTCGAGACATAAAACCCAGTGGTTATTCCAAGAGATGTACGTCGGCTTCAAAGACACTCAAAGATTGCTTTTATGACTATGTACATCCATTTGAATATTATACGCAAAATGCGAAAAATTCAAGCAAAACCAATGGATCGAATACAGAAGATATGGACATAGATGATAATCAAGGCACCAGCACCCCAGTCAATCAAAATATATGTGGTGAATGTGGTCAGGAAATTTATCGTGAACAATTGGCATATCTTTGTCAGGGGGATTGCGAAAAACCATTTCACAGAAAATGCTTGCACCTTCTTAATGAGATTACTCGCGGGAGCAACTTTTATTGTCCTAATTGTATCGTTTCTATCGGGAGTGATTTCGGTTTTGGCGAAGGATCAGAGTATTCGCTTGCCGAGTTTCAGAAAAAAGCGGATAATTTCAAAGCGAACTATCTACAAAAGCATCCGCCTGAAGGAGAAACAAACATTGAAGATCATATTGAAGCGGAGTTCTGGCGGCTAGCTCAATCAATAGAGGAAAATATGGATGTTGAATATGGAGCAGATATAAATGCGATGGATTATGGAAGGTTTTGTATATTCTTCTTTATACTGTTTCAGAATATGTTTTTATACAATCAATTTTATTTTATTTCTATTATTTAGTGCTTTTCCTGATCCTGAGTTGCATCCACTAGACCCATATTCAAAACACCCCTGGAATCTAAGAAATTTGCCACGGCACCACGGTTCTCTCCTTCATCTCATCCAACCCGAGATCCCCGGCATGATGGTGCCATGGCTTTATGTAGGAATGGCATTTTCAGCTTTTTGCTGGCACGTCGAAGACCATTACACATACTCAATCAATTACATGCATTTTGGTGAGACCAAGACTTGGTATGGTATTCCATCATCTAGCGCTGATCGATTTGAGGAGGTTGCACAAACATTGGTGCCAGAATTCTTTGAAAAGCAGCCTGACCTCTTAAATCAGCTCACTACCATACTAAGTCCTAGCAAACTTGTGAAAGCGGGAGTAAAAGTAGTTGCTATTGATCAGCGACCAAATCAGTTTGTTGTGACGTATCCGCGCGCCTATCATGCTGGATTCAATCATGGAGTAAGTATTTTTCGACATAAGATTAAAATGAAAAGCTTTTTCCTCTTGACTACTAAATTTTATAATTAGTAATGCACATTTTCTTTATTTCAGTTTAACATGAATGAAGCAGTTAATTTCGCGTTACCTGATTGGGTTCCCTATGGACAAGATTCTATTAATTATTATAAAACGATTGCTCGTCCTCCGGTTTTTTCGCATGAGAGACTTTTGCTTGAACACGCGCTGAGAAATTATAATAACCCGAGGATAGCTCTTTGGTAAAAATATTTCATATCGATTTAAGATAGAGTATAATATATAAGATATCTTTTTTATTAACATTGAGTAATATTTGATATTTCAGGCTCAAAGAACCCGTCGAAGAAATATGCAACCGCGAGATACAAATGCGACACAAAATACGGAGAGAATTGAGGTTAAAAGAACCTGTTTATGAAATTTTTGATAGGGATGATCCACATATTACATGTGTCGCGTGCAAACAGTATTGCGCCTTATCTCAAGTGGCTTCTTACTGTAAGCCGGCAGTCGTATGTCTGGAACACGCGAAAGAACATTATCAGGAGGTTTGCAGTTGCGGAAAAGGATGCCAATACCTTCGTATAAGATATTTGGATGAACATCTTAACAGGTAAATAAATACGATATGCTGATCTGCTAGAAAGATCAGAAAAATATCGATATTTTTGATTTAAATCTATTCCTAAATAGCCTTGTAGGCGCCTTAAACCAAACTCAAAACAACACGAGAGACTGGATGGAAAATTATTGCACATATTTCAAAGAGACGGAAAATCCTAAGCTTGCCGACTTACAAAAGTTATGGCGACAAGCAAAATCTCTGCAAATGCCGATCAATCTAGATTACCTTGAAAACTTTATCGACAAATCAATTGATTGGACAGAACGCACACAGATGTATAGCCAAATTATTAATGAACATTTAATGCCATATTCGCAAAGACCGCCTGAATTTAAAATTGCCGAGTTCTTGCGCCGATGGGAACGGAGAGTCAACGATTGCATCGCAGACGATGATAATGATATGGGTGATATTGATAAAATCGAGGATAATGAAAGTGATACCACCAATTCCAATGGCAATGAAAGCATTAACGATGTGACTAATACTAAAATGGAGCTCGATGACGAAAACACTACTGGAAGAGATAATAATGAAGATGCTGAAGAGGACGAAGAATACATTTATGACGGGGAAGATCAAGGTGATGAAGGGAAACGATACTGCTTTTGCAGAAACATGGATGGTGAAAGTTTCATGATCTTGTGTGAACGTTGCGGAACCTGGTATCATGGAGAATGCGTAAATGCAAAACCTGGAACAGTATCAACCAAGAAGAAAGACAAGTGGTACTGCGACATGTGTCAGCCATGGGAAGAAAGAAATATCATCGAGGAAGTATTAAAACAAGCGGAACTCGGGGAAACTATGAATTTCACCCCACTATTCTCTCGAGAATTCACGAAAATCATAACAAAGATCAAAAACTGGCTGACTGTTCGAAATGCTGCCTTGTCGGGCGAATCAATATTCGACGACAAGACAACAAAAAGAAAATTATATGGTATGGGATTAATGTGGGCAATCCCAAAGAAAGCGGCCGAAAAAACGTCAAAGACTAACCCCATGAAGAGGAAAAGGGACGTATGTGGAGAGTAGAAGGTGGGCTTTGGTGGACAAAGAAATGATATATGATGATGATAACAATTGTAAATAACATTCAATTTAAATTATTTCAATAACGTATGTGTTTTTCATGATTCTCAAATAGAACCTGATCAAAATGTGCATTTACTTAATAAGTAAAGCAACTAATAATGAATAAAAGCAATAATTACAAAGTAGTCTGATATGGTTATTTTACAAATTTTTAAACATGATCCGAGATTATTACAAATACTCTTATGAACGCCTTTTTGCATTTATGATTTCTCTAATTGTTTTATATAAACGAGAACATCCTTACGCGTCACTATACCTACTAGTTTTCCTAAGGTTTCGATTACGATCGCACGTGGTCTGGAAAATTAAAAAAAAATTAACAACTCTCGAATTTGAATTTTTGATAATTGAAAAAATAAGAAAAGTAAAACAAATTACCCAAGTTTTTTAAATAGATCTAATACGATTTCTAAAGGTGTATTTGAGCTTACACTAAACGGTATCTTATGTAAAGTAACCAAAAAATAAAATAAAATTCATTTCCTCGATAATCAACAAAAACCAAAAATCTGCAAATTATTTAATTAATATACCTCTAGATATTTAGATAAATTAAGATGTTCGGAGTTTTGACTATCTCCATCAAAAAAGCAGTATGCATTGTTTGATCGGCCATTCATCTTTTTATACAAGTCTAGTAGCAATTCCGAAATATGACTTGAATTAATAAAAAACAAAGTGAATAAAAATCAGATTGGCATTAAAAGACCTCAATTACCAATTGCATAACGTAATTCTGCGCGTCCGATATATCCCATCAGAATCATGCTCGTTTTGTCTTTGACTATTGGGAATCCTCGGTAATTTGTCTCAAGCAAGATTTGCTCTTATAAAATAAGAAATACAAAAAAAACCTCAATAATAGCAGTTATCGCGTCACATAGAAAATATAGAAAATTACCAATTTCTTCTAAACGTTGACCCGACATCATGACTACAAGATCTTTGTGCATTACAGTAGCAACTATTTAAATTGAAAAGATTAAAATAAATAAAATTTATCTTATCATTCTTTAAAATCTCAAAAAAAAACTTGCCAGGAATTCCAAAGGAATATTCTTTATTGTCCAGAAATGGAAATCCATTCAATCTAATCATTTGATCCGCAGTATACAGTCAATCAAGGAGAATATTCTGTTATTGATTTTGAATTAGCTTAATCATTAACTTGTAGCATATCTAAAGGATATATTCCGCCCTTTCCCAATATGTCTCCAATAGTCTTTGTAACCATAAGAGTAATCTAAAAAAAAATGAGGCAATAATTAATTGCCTATTGTCCTATAAATAAAAGCCAATTTTTTTGTCTCAATACAACTTACCATTGTGGGTAAAATATATGTCAAAGCGCCCGTTAATTCAAACATAATTACCACAACACATACTAAATATAAATAAAAGGACAAGCATAAACATCATATCTTTTCCAAAATATTACTCAATTTCAAAAATATTATTACGTAAAATATCTTACCGGTAAGATGCATAATACCACTAAAATGAGGAAAAAAGACAAATTTTATCAAGTAAATGCTGGAAAATAACGTTATTATTACTATTCAGAAAACTTAAGTTGATTACCCCAAGGCAGCTGCAGCCCCTAAAAATGCATACATCCCTGGCGTAACACACTGGACATTCATTTGTATCGAAAAGGAAGATTTATATTAATTTTTTTTATTATAATAGAAGAAATCTACGAAGCACAACTAACCGGTAAATCTGGTTTACAAGTGGCAAATAACGGGAAATGCGGATACGCTCTTAATAACGAAATAAACGAATTTTAATATTACGATAACTTAATAGGACTTTTAGTCATGAAATAAGAAAAAAACTTACAAATGTATAGATTTTGCAATTATTCCTACGGACCGTCCAAATGTTGCTCCCACTACCATCGACGGAATAAATATTCCCGCAGGAATCTAAATTAGGAGAATTCATATAGCAAAAGTGACTAATGACAAAACAAAAAAAATCCTAGCATTCCTTACTTTTGCACCATATGATAAAATAACAAAGCCTGTCCGGAAAACGGTTGCTAATAGTAATAGCCAAATCATTCTTGTCGTTTCAGCTTTCCTATAAAAATTATTTTTATATCGTAAAATAATTTTTATATTTGAAGCAATTAAACATATGTAATTTTGAAATATATATACCGACATAATCCTTCATAATCAGCGGTTCCTTCTTCACATTCTCTAAATAAAATTCCCAAAGTTTCAGTCATATCTACTTTCATAAAGATATTGAAATAGCCTATAAAAGCGGTAAGGCACGCCAACACAGCCGCTTCAGCAACTGCATAATCTTTTAAATATTTTCTTCGAATCGTTTGAACTTTTAAGTTGTATTTGGTGACTAATGCACCATATAATCCCTAAGAAATTATGCATAGCAAATTAAACCTTTATCAGAGAAGAACTGAGACTCAATTTTAACAAGTACTTACCCCGAAGATACCCAATATAATAAAAAACAATATTTCAAAGGAATGCCATTCGCGATCATAAGTAACTTGGAACATTACCAATTTTCCGGTACGAAATGGATTCATTGCCTAATAATATAAAAAAAAATATTTAATTTTTATCTGTATGATAGATGCGATGAGAATAAAAAATTACCTGTAATACAGCTGTCGCTACTAAAGCACAAAAGAAACTACGCCACATCGTTTTCATAGGGAAATTAGAGCTCATTTCCTAGGAAAAAACCAATTATTATTTGTTTCTTAAAATAAAGTTCAATCAACAATTATTGACTCTTACTTCAAAAGAAAATAAAACACCACCAATGGGAGAACCAAAGGCGACAGCGACGCCAGCAGCGCATGAAGCAGACAAAATTTCGCGCATTTTAGCTAAAAAGAAATCATTCAATAAGCGATGTATTCACATACGGAAGTTTTATATTAATAAAGAAACTTTACCTTTATTTCTTTTATATTTTCCAAATAATCTAGATACAACATTTCCAACACATGCAGCAGTATGCACAGATGGACCTTCTTTACCCACACTCAAACCTGACGCAATCGCTAATGGCTATATTATTGACTTGATTAATCTGTTATACAAGGATTCAAAAAATAATAAATTTCCATTGAACACTCACTAATCCAATATTTTTTAAAAGTAATGTCCATCTTCCCAAAAATCCTTTCATTACGAATCCCGCCAAAATACATTTTATTTCTGAAATACCGGATCCAGCGGCATAAGGCGCAAAGGAACGTATTAAATGAGCACAAACAGCGGCAAAAGTAGTCTATTGATAATCATTACACAGAGAGATTAAAGGTGGTTGACTGATTATTGACAACATTTTGAAAAAATATACCATACCGCAAAAAATATATAAAAAAACCAATTTATTATATAAAATCTCGACCAATTTTCCCATTCCTCACATGAACCATCTGGAGTTTAAATAATGATTGCTAGTTAGCGAATTATTATTAGGGTAACGTTTTACGAAAAATCCATATCATCTAACCTTCTCGTTCAATTTCCCAACAACAAAATTTTTGATTTAACCACCAAGAATTCTTGCAATAGCCCAATTTTATATCAGACAGCCATTCAGTAATAATATCAGTTATTGCCGCGTTCATGCCGATAATAGCACCTAAAATATTAATTAAAATCATTGAATAATGAATGGCCAACTTAAATATTAAATTAAATATGAGAATACACAGACCAACAATGAAAACAACAATCCATGCTTGACCAGCTTCATAAGAAAGATGAAGCCATATCATCCATGAAGTTCGATTCTCAATTGCCGCAGTTCGTAGCGCATTCATTCTTGATCGTTCAAGTATAGCATCTTGAACCCAATCTAAAATAATGAACAATGAAAATTAACAAAAGCTTTGCTATATCATTATATTACATACACTTTTCGTACCTATCGTAGTAAAGTCTTCATAACGTTTAATATCTTCTAAAGCTTTGTCATAATTGTCGTTAAAATCTGTGACACGCGTTTCAAGTTGCGAAGTTTCAATAGGCGACCGAGGTGGCCGGAGGGAACGGGCAGCACGTGTTGGAAGTGGAGAGTGTACCAAAGGTCGAACTGAATTCCAAAAGCTAATAATAAAGAATAAAGAATATTTATCGCTTCTAAAACAGCGAAATAAACGAACTCAAGGAGAACACACCTTCCCTCTTTAGCTTTCTCTTCAACTCAAAAGAGTAACTTACTCGTAGATTTTGGACAAAAAATTCCCGGTTTCTTGATCTTCCTCCGAAGAAGCCATTTATTATATGCTGGTGTTTGTTGATTGATAGTCGATATCGATATCGACATCGATCGTTGACATTTAAAAATATGCAGACACCCTTAAAAAACAATCGTTTCGACGAATTAGAAACGCTTCGTAAAAAGCTCGACGTGTCTTTTGGGGTTATTAATGAGCGAGTTGTTTCTTGGTTACCGCCTCAAAAGCCTGAAGAAAAAGAACAGGAAAAACGAAATGAGATAGAGGAAGAGGAAGGATTTGAAAGTAGCGGTGGTGGTTGGTTAGTTGGTAACAGGCAACGAGGTTTTAACAAGTGAGTATATCACTAAGATAACTTGTATGAATTAGTATGCTAATGCTCATTCTCTATATCCTATCATCATTTGTTGTGACTTAGATTAAATATTGGCGTGAATGCCAGACTCAAACGTAAATTAACCAGTAAACACAATGATTCTGAGGACGACGATAACATCAATAATACTAATGTAAAGTATCGAAGAAAAGCCACTACCACCTATGAAGATGATGAACAGGATAAAGACAGTAAATTTGTTGCGATCGTTACGAAGAACAGGAATAAAAAGTTAAAAATCGGAAGTTTTAAGGAAGAAGAAAAACAAAAAGATGAGGGCAAGATTAATAACACTAATAATAGTAATGAAGGTAGTAATAATAAATTCGATGATAGGAAAAGCATGGGCTGCGACTTTCTATCTGTTTATTTGAGTGAACGCAATAGCAAAAAGAAGAAAAAGAATAATCAACACAAGAAAAATGATGACAGTAATGGTCATCGTCATTCGATTGAGAAGAGCGCACAGGTTGAAAAGAACTTGAACCAGATAATGGAGAAAAAAAAGGAATCCACTATTACCACTTTTATAACCACACCTCTTGATTTAAGCAAACTAAAGTGGAAGAAAACCATCACCACCATGGAAAATACTTAATTTTCTCATCCTTCTCTTGCGCAGTAATTAACAAATTCTAAGAATTGATTTACCAGTAAATCTGATGAACATTCTTAATTTTTTTTCAATTATTTATTAAATTATTATAATGATAATGTTAATCACTTTAATCATCCATGTTAATCAATGATATGTTATACATGGTTACGAGAGATTAGTGTTTCTAAATGGATTCTCATACAATAAATGGATATATAGGGTATAAGATATCGGCAATAGGGTATGGACAAATACTATTGAGCTTTATTAATTCTGGTCGGGTCATTAATTTTTTACATTTGTTCATTATTAATTAGGTACCTATTCTAAAATTTTTGTTTTTATAACGATAAGTGTTGTAATAACCTTCCTAAAGTTTAAACAACATAATGTGGCTTTTCGAAAGCTATCTGATAAATGTGATTCTGATCCGAATCATTTAGAAATATGCAAAACTTTCAAAATATATCGAATTCTCTGATTTTTATTATAATTACGTGAGCTAATTCTTGAATTATGAATATTTCAAATTTGAACTATGAAAATGATCTTCTTAACAAAAATTTTCAGTTTAACATAAAAAGATAATTTGATACCAATATTACAAAACTGAATTATTTTGTTAATTATAAGATCTAAAATTAATATATATATAGTCAAATCTCTCTATAGTCACATCTTCAGGATACAAAAAATGGTGATTATAAAAAGATGTGATTTATATAGAGATATTCTTTCTATAGTCACAATTATATTAAAAAAGATAATTAGTGACTATAGTCACACCTCTCAGATATCAATCTCATGAGACCAAGTATTTTTGTTAATATATGAGGGGGTTGATAACTCAAAGGGTTAGGATTAGAGTTAGGGTTAGGTTAGATTGATTGATTTGATAACTTTGATTGATTGATTAGTCTCAATCAATTAATTTAACAAGTTATATTTAGTCTTTTTTATTCATTGAGCTTTCACTTCCAAAATAAAATGCTTTATTATTTTCTCAAAGTAGATTTTTATATTACAATCTAAAAATGGAACTATATTTCATCTTTCATTATCCTCTCAAAATAAACCTTTATCTTGATTATTTATTTTTCTTCCAAAAAAGATCTCTATATTATCAAAAACTTTTATATACTACCTGTATTTAGAATAAACTTCTAGAAAAAATCTGTCAATTTTTTCTGCTGTTTTATTTCTAACATCTTTACTTGAATATATTATAATAAACTTCATAATGTTAGCAAATTTTGCTTCTCTATAAACTTAATTGGATCTTGTTATTCAGTATATTGCAAAAGTAATTTACATTATTCAAAAATAGTAGAATGAGAAATTTTCTTGATTTTAATCTCACTATCTTTATTACTATTATCAGGATTAGATTTTTGAAGAATTTTCTTGATAATGGTCTCTTCATCTAAAATGACTTTTTCAATCTCCAAACTGTTATTAATGCAAATATATTCTTTAGCTATTATTAACAGAGTATTTAGAAAAGAAATACTGATAATTAGTTTTTCAATATCTATTCTCAGTCCAACATTCTCTTCACTATGTACATCCAAATTTAATCAAGCTCATTCATTTACTGATATTATTTTGATTTTTCACTAGCAATTAATAATTGTCTGAGAAGTTATATTTTTCTATGTTTTGGTAATAAAATTGATTACTTTTTTGATATTAAAATGAGATATTTCTTTTTCAGTATCAATAACTTCCAAAATATGTTAAAGATATAGCTTTTGATAGTGAGCTTTGAATGAGTTAATTATTCTGACATCACATAGTTATAAATGAGCTATTATATTAGATGGCAAAAAATGAACTCAAATATTCTAATTCCTTACAAACTATGTGAAAAGCAGTATTATTAATCAAGAGCAGAATTTTCTTATATTTGATTTGGAAAATAGCATTTAGAGATTTCACCTAATATTCAAAGATATTACTCTTCATTCATGCTTTCTTATTGATTCCATATTTGGTAGCAAGATTCTCTTTTGAAATATTTTTAAAATACTATAATTTTACTAATTTTCTAATAATTAGTGACTTTAATTTATCTATATCAATTATATTTGTACAAAATAAAATAGTTATCTGGTTCTTGTCTTTTTTTTTTCTTTGACAGTCTTGGTTGCAAGTATCTGATTAGGTGTCATTCAAAAGAAGAGATCAGTTTTATCAGTATTATATATATCCTCTGGCCTGTATTATGAGAGTAATTTAATCAATTCTTGCCTTTACTTCAGAAGTTTTTTAATTAGTATACTTTCTAACTCTCTATAGATTCTAAATCACTAAAGATCATGTCATCTTTTGAATCTATCAAGCTAATCATTACTCATTTTGAAATTATTCTCAGAAATATTTAATAATGTCACAAATTCCCTTATCTGCAGTTTTAAAAGTCTATCTATTAAAATTATATTTTGAAAAGAAGCTATTGTATTCAGATACTTAATGCAATTTCTAAGTCTGTAAATTTCACCAAGTAGTTAATCTTTTTTATTACTTTGATTATAATCAGTTACATGAATAATTATTTTTCTTTAGTTTTCAAAATTTTCAAAATTGTACTTTTATCATAGTCATATTTCTTTGTAAGTTTCTCAAGTATAAGAGCTAGATTGATCTGTCTTTATTGATAAATTTCTTGCTTGAACTTTAAAGTCAAGTGTATTCATTTCTTTCATGATCACTTTACTATCTTATTTATATCATTATTCAAACTATTGTTATTATTTATACCTATTATCATTATTCATATTCATAATATGAACTTTATATTAGAAGAAAAATCATATAGAATTTCAAAACATGATTTGAACTCTAACTAATGTATGAGAAGAGATTATAGGAATTTATAATATTATCAGGAGAGAAGAGATATGCTAATGATGAAGAAAAATTTATAATATTACAGAGAAAAAATTATGTGAAATGATCATATAATTTTAATAATGTAATTTTACTATTAATATGTGAAATAAATATAATAATTTAAATAATGTGAATAGTAAACTATTACTCTTACCAAAAATGGCTAGTGATACATATAGATTTATATTACAAAAGAGGTAATATGAACAAGTAACCCTTGATATTAATTCAAACTTATTATTATCTAAAAAAAATTGATCATATGAAATTTGATATTAGAGAAGATATATAATTATATGTGAGAACCTGAATTTAGATTGATATTAATATTATTATCATTTTAAGATTATCATATATAATTATTTTAAAATAGTAATAGTAATTGTATTCATAACAGTTATTAACTTTTATAACTTCAAGGAATTATATGACTAATTATCTTCTTAATAAAATGATATATGTGAGATTTACTTCTGATAAAATGTGATTATTTTCAAAGATAATTTATATATGTTTTACTTTTATAATAAAATATGATTATCTTCTCAATAAGATAATATATATGAATTTATTTCTAACAAAATACTCTCTCAATAGAGCAAAAAGAAAATAAGATAAGATATAAGATAAAATATATGTATTTATTAAAGAAAAATACTAATTAACTACTTTTTAACTCAGTAGTAATTACTTTTATCAAACTTAATTATTCTTCTTGATTACTTCTTAACTCTTTATATATAATATTTTTCTTATTATGCTAATTACAAATTATTTCTAACATGATATTTTACTTAATTTAATTAAGAACAAGTAAAATTTAAAAAGAATAATCACAAGAAATATTAAATACATGATAATAAAGAATTTAAAATTAGTAAAACATTAAGTTAATTAAATCTAAAGTGAGAAATGAAAGAAAATTAATAATAATTAATTAGAAAGTTATTAATTTAATAAAACTATAAATTAAGTATGATACATATGGCTAAATTAATATTTGAATAAGATTAAATATGAGTAATAATATAAATTAAAATAGAATTAATTACAAATAAAATTAATTAATTAATTACAAATAAAATTAATTAATAAAAATTACTTATTTATCTGATTTAGTAGTAATCAGTGATTACTGTATTATGTGCTACAGCTGCGCCATATATTATATCATGTCTACTGCATCATATAAATAAATAATTGATTATAATATCAAAGAGAAACTATATAAAAGTTAATATCTGTAAGAGAATTTATATAATAAAAATTCTATTCTATAATTAATGTTGCTAATAAAGAGATATTGATATTTAAGAGATTGATATCTGAGAAGTATAACTATATATAAAGATTTATTAGAAAAAATTTGACTAATAAAATTAATTATTTAAAGCTAATTATGTATATTAATCAGAATCTTAAAGATTAATTACTTATATTAATTAAGCTTTAAAGTTAATTTAATCAATCAATTAGATTTTTTAATAATTCAAAGCTAATTTAAAAATTGATCTATTTTTTTATAAAAGATATAAGTAAGACTTACTTCTTAGCTTCTTGCTTTTCATAATCCTATTCTCTGAGTTTTTTTCATAGCATCATTAGTTCTTTCTCATCAAATTCCTTTCTTATTTCAAGACTTTCTTGATATCTTATCACTTTTTTCAATATCTCAATAGCTTTGATAATAATTATCAAAGATGATAAAAGTAACTCATTATTATTTATTTCATTATTATTATGAAATTCAGCTTTTACCATTTTGATTATGCCTTCATTATTTAATCTATTTTCAGTTTTGATTGATTGATCAATTATATGAATATATTCTTCAATATCTTATATTAATTATTGAATCATCAGATTAATGTTCATCAAAAGATTATTAACTAATATTATAGTACTATCAATCTTTAAGATATCAGCTTCAAGTTCACTTTCTTTTAATCTGTTTATTTCTGATAAAATTCTAATAGTTCATCAGTAATTCTTTATAGTAATATCACTAATTTCTTGTCACATATTAGTAATAAAGTTTATAGTTTTTTTTGAAATAAGTTTTCTATAATATTTATTATAGATGATTAATATCTTTTAAATAATAATGA